TGAATGCTTGTTCGACCGCAACTGTGGAACAAGGGGTTGAAAAAATCTGTTTTGCAATAAGAGAAAGGATTGGGTATTGGCTTGCGTGCCTCTTCCACACCAAAATAAAAAAATCTGTACTACCTTCGGCTTCAGTAAACTCAAATAAAATGGTTAGATAACTCTCTAATTCAGAAATATTTCCTATTATTCCCTTTTGTTTTTTTTGTTTATGTAATAAAAGTTGGTACCCTCTACTAATTTTACCTGTACTGTCATTTTGTATCTCCGTAGATTGAGAAGATCTAATATCACCTAAATTATATTTAGTATAAAATTCATTATATAATTCTATTACTACGTTTTTAACCTTACGTACTATGGTTGTAACATTTGTCACATCATAATGTAAACATTGATAATACGCACGCAAAAAATCATTTAAGCCATCCAATTTGCAACGCGGATAAAAAACACAAGCAACTAAATAAATCATGGGAATTTCACTATAATAATGAAGCCATTTCATTTTCATTGCAACTATAGTATGTTGTTATTCAACATCATTTTCATATTCATCAAAAGTTCCGACAATATTAGTACACTCTACTAAAAATAAATGTGTAGTAGGATAATAAATACCAGACAAAGTATAAGTTGCATCATTAAAAACCTTTAAAAAATCTAAAATTTTTTGGCAAATATGCCACTCTTGTGGGTATAAATTAATCTCAGGTATATTATTAGAAATGAATGCACATAATAAATCTTTATATGCTAAAGATTCACTAAGCAAGTGGAAAGTAGAATTCCAACGAGTTGGAACATCTCTTGGAAATCTTTTTGGCTTTTTGCCATTATCTCTACAAAATCTACCCCATTCTTTCATTTTTTTGGGATGTTTCCATAAAAATTGAATCGCCGTTTTTATTGGTTGAAGAAAAATATCAAGAGTTTTCAAACCATCTTGTACACATAAATTTAAAACATGACAAGCACATCTAATGTGAAAAAATTTTCTGCCAAAAGCGGGTTTACAAATATTTTCTAACTCGGCAATTGAAGCGGTATTTGCTGCGGCATTATCAAAACCGATTGAAAAAAATTTGTTAAGCAAATAATATTCTTCTAAAACTTGCCTAATTATTCTATAAATATTATTTGCCGTATGATGATCATCGAAAACTCTAAATGCAATAACTCTTTTTTGAATAGTCCACTCGTCATCTATCCAATGACATGTTATGCCCATGTAAGAATGATTTTGCCAATGATCACTCCAAATATCACTACCTATATGCACGCATCCATTAAATTGCATAAAAAAGTTTTGTAAATCATTTTTTCCATTTTTGTAAAGATCTTTAATTACTCGTTTAATTGAATTTCTAGGAACACGTTTTGCTTGTGGAGCACATGCTTTTTGTACAAATTCATTAAAACCAAATCTTTCTTCAAAATTAAATGCTAAATGCTCAACGGAAATAAATTTGCCTAATTCTTCCTTATAAGTTTTTTCATTAAAACGAAATAAAGGGGAAGTGTTAGGATTGACGTACCCGGAAATTTGTTGTTGCCCGATATCGATTCCCGTTTCGGTTGGATGTTTGCTCATAAGATGTCGTTTAAATGTTCCATATCCTTGTCCACCTGTATATTTATATATTTTTCCACAATATTTACAAATTATATCATACCTTTTTTGACCGATATCAAACCTTTCCATTTTCGTGAAGTGATTCCAAATGTCAGATGTAAATTCCCGTTCCGCTTCCTTTGTTGTAGATATTTCAGCAGGAGGATGAAAACTTTCTTGCGTCGGGACGCGCTCCACATCGTGAAAAATGTTGATTTCATCATCTTGAAAATCTGCATATTCACGAGGATCAAAAGAATGATGGGATTCCGTCGCGATATTCTTACCTTTGCCAGTTGGCACTCGACTTCCACTTGCCATTTTTCGAATGGATTGAGAGAATTGAGCGGATTAATTGGGAGAATTAAGAAAGAATTGCGTGGATTGAGAAAATTGAGAGAATTTCAGAGAATTTCGAGTATTGAGAAAATTTGAGACTTGAGAGAAGAGAATTGGAGAGAATTGTGTGTGTATTGTGAGAATTTGAGAGAATTTATAGGAAAAAAAATAGAAGAAAATTTAGAATTAAAAAAAATAAAGCATAACCATTGCAAAATTGCAACGGTTATGTGTTTTTTTTTTTTTTATAAAAACGCCCGTTGACCACCTCTACCCCAGCAAAGCCTGTCCTGCCGTCAATCTGTCCCTATCGATCTCGTAGAAACCAAAACCAGCCCGCAGAAAAAGTTGAAGCGACCCCTGAAAGTGCAAATCACATCACACATCATTCTGTCTCCAACCACTATATAAATGCCTCAGTTTCCTCCCTCTTTCCTCGCTCCACTCTCCGGTTTCCTCTCTCTTTCTCCCTCCCTCTGTGCAATTTTCAGTTCAAGAAAGAAAAGGCGACGCAGAAATGGAGTCTGGGTCTTCCTCTTTTTGCCTTTTCCAGTCCATCCAGATCGCCCTCTTCCTCCTCTTCCTCTCCTTCACTCTCCTCTTCTCTGCCTTCTCGTTCTCAGGCTCAAGCCGCTCTGCGACTGCGACGTGTGCACGGCCTACTTGAGCTCCAGTTGGACCAAAGAGTTCGACAACCTGTGCGACTGGTACACCCACCTGCTCCGGAAGTCTCCCACCGGCACCATCCACGTCCACGTCCTCGGCAACGTCGTCACCGCGAACCCCGACAACGTCCACCACATGCTCCGCACGAGGTTCGACAACTACCCCAAGGGCAAACCCTTCTCTGCGATCCTGGGCGACCTCCTGGGCCGAGGGATCTTTAACGTCGACGGCGATTCGTGGAAGTTTCAAAGGAAGATGGCCAGCTTGGAGCTCGGGAGCGTGTCGATACGCGCGTACGCTTTTGAGGTCGTGGCGTCGGAGATAAAGAACCGCCTCGTCCCGCTGTTGTCGTCGGTCTGCGGGAAAGATGACGGCGGTTTGGATCTGCAGGATGTGTTTAGACGTTTTTCTTTCGACAGCATATGTAAGTTCTCGTTCGAGTTGGACCCGGGCTGCCTGTGTCGGAGTTCGCAGAGGCGTTCGACGCGGCATCGAGGCTGTCGGCGGAGCGGGCGATGAGCCCGTCGCCACTGGTCTGGAAAATCAAGCGGCTGCTCAACGTCGGCAGCGAGAGGAGGCTCAGGGAGGCCCTCAGGATGGTCAACGCCCTCGCTGACGAGGTGATCAAGCAAAAGCGAGAAATGGGTCCTTCAAAAGATCACAACGATCTTCAATCGAGATTCATGACCACCATCGACGACGACGGGTACTTGAGGGACATCGTGTTGAGCTTCCTTCTGGCGGGGCGCGACACGGTGGCGTCCGCGTTGACCAGCTTCTTCCGGCTGGTGTCGCAGAACCCCGAGGTCAGAGACGCCATAAGGGAGGAATCGGACCGGGTCATGGGTCCGACCAGCGGCGGCCTCGCGAGCTTCGACCAGATGCACAAGATGCACTACTTGCAAGCGGCTCTGTACGAGTGCATGAGGCTGTACCCGCCGGTCCAGTTCGACTCGAAGTTCGCGCAGGACGACGACGTGTTGCCGGACGGGAAATGGGTCAAGAAGGGGACAAGGGTCACGTACCACCCCTACGCCATGGGCCGGATGGAGCGGTTGTGGGGCTCGGACTGCCTCGAGTTCAGGCCTCGGCAGTGGCTGACGAGGGACGGGGTCTTCACGCCCGAGAGCCCGTACAAGTACCCGGTGTTCCAGGCCAGGGTTCGGGTCTGCCTGGGCAAGGAGATGGCCCTGGTGGAGATGAAAAGCGTCGCATTGGCTCTGGTCCGGCAGTTCGATGTCCATGTCGCGGATGGTCACCTCAGTCCCCGGTTCGCGCCGGGGCTCACCGCCACCATAAGAGGGGGATTGCCGGTGGTGATTAAAGAGAGATAAGTCGCCTCAGCTGTTAGTGGTATGCCCTAAGAATCAATCAAGGTTGATACTTTAATATTAGTTGTGAATAAAGTTGTGTCGGAAAATCGACCTAATCATAATGTCTTGTTAGAAACTGCTTATAACTTGTAGGCCAAAAAGGGTTTTGAGCACACTGCTAATGTTTAGTGAATCTACATGGTCGCATACAATAGCGAACTGAGTTAATATTTTCTGTGCGCTGGGATCTACTTAAAATAAGAAGTAAATTTTAATTTATCCTCCTATTCAACTTATCTACGCGGTCGTGCACGTTATGAGATAACGATAAAACGTACGATTGAAGGTGGACAGTTTGGCGGACCCAAATCGCCCGGCTCTACTTGTTTTAATTCGCGTAGATAATGAGGTTATATATATATAGCGTGTGGGTGACAAAAAAATCCTAAGAGACAAAAAAACGCCTCCAAGAGAATCATTCTTTGTTTAGAGATCTTTGAGAGAATCTCAAAGATCAAAGGCGATCAGGAAAAAGAAGTTCAAGATCTTTAACTAGTACTTGGATCGTTGGAGACTTCCGTTCCTGTGTGTGAATACCAGTAGAGGCGCAACACTTGAGGCGCTAATCCAAACACAATCGATTGTCAATTTACCTTTAATCTGCAAAAGATAAGTGTCGAATTTCTGTTTAGATTTCAATATACATATGGATCATGTCTAGAATTTTGGTTTATAAATTCCGCTGCGTTTTTAGCACTTGAGAAATCTTACATCAGCAAGATGAGAAGAGATTTTTTTGGGCGTACCCTAAATAAGAGAACAGATAACACAAAGTGTACATCTTCTATAGTCACTTGTTCACTTGTTGCGTAAGAGCTTCATTAGGAGAAATGAACAGATGCATAGATCAGAAGCCGGCCAGATACTCTGGACCTTATTAACAACAGAAGGTGCATATGACTCTGCGCATGAATGAGACCGAGAGATCGAGGAGTGATTTTAAGCATTATCTCTTGCGGACAACTCCATGGCCCTCTACTCTGCCAGCGCACTTGAGGTCGGCGTACTCAAAACTCTCGACCGAGTTCCATGGCGCCAACTAGCCGAAGAACCAGGATGCCACGCAGTTGGCGGTGAAAAGGCTTGACGACGCAGACTCCCTCTCGCCTCCCAGCACCGGCATCGCCACGCCCATCTTGGCCCAGCTCACGTGGTTCCTTGCGTAGGTCTGCCCCAAGACGCTGCTCACGTCGCTGCTCAATGCGTAGAACTTGAAGCTCAAGTCCAAGCGAATGAAGCAATCTTCGTAGGTTATTCCGTGGTTGTGGATCAATGAGTCCTTCCGGGTAATCGGGACAGCCATGGCCTTGATCTTGAAGTTCTTCTCTGCTTCGATTTCGATAGCGCTCGTGTCGCGGTACCTTGTGAATGAGATATGTGGGGTGGTCTTGGAGTGCCACAAGGCACCCTCGTGTCGAGGGAGGGTGATGGGGGCGCTGACGAGGAAGAGGGAGAGGCGGTTGACGAGCGTCATCCCAAGCTGAGGTCTCGAGCGCGCCGACAAAGAGGTTGTGGGAGCCAAAGAGGATACTAAGGGACTTGAACCAGGTGAAGTTGCGGCACATGTTGGCATTGCGGCGGCCAATGAAGTGCGTGTTGATGTGGAGGTTGGAGTTTGGGGCAGAAGTCACGGTTCTTTTTGCCATGGAAGTAGAAGGTGATGCCATCGCTGCCGATGAAGCGTGGGTCCAGGCACGCCACGTCGGGATAGTCGCGGCCTGCTCACATTTTGCAATAGAAATTTTTAGCATCCTTGGAGAGACTAGTCATAGTAAATTCCAATTGAGATCCTCTGATTTTAGGACCAAAATTAGTTTTGTCGAGGTCAGGATGCATGACCTGCAAGAGTTATCAATTATGGAAACTATTTGCAGCAATGACTTGCATCGAAACTTGACTTTCTAATGGTGACGTGTGACATGATCTGATCAGGTGATGAATTCATATATACAGAGTGACTAATCAAAGTTCCAAGAGTGTCAAACTGCTACGTTCCTAATCTAATCAAATTGGAACAATCATCTTGTCCAATTTTCAGGACATTAATTCTTAAGACTTCTTATATATTTTTGTTTGGTTCGATCTGACGCTCCACTAAGATATGTAGAGCTAGATCTAAGGAGATTCACGTTCATGCAAGTCCATGGACAGTGAGTGAAGGGGAAATAAAATGAGGAAAATAGGAAAAATTACCTAATTGGTCTATGGAGGTTAATTCAGTCCTAAAAAAGTTCCAATTTCGCCAATTTGGTTTTAAACCTGGAGGCGAAATTCCAATTTAGTCATTACAATCAATTTTTCAATGAAAATCACTGACATGGTGATTCAATTATCGCTGGCCGTCCTACGCGGCACACCACCACGTTAGTGATTTCCGGCGAAAATAGACCGGAATGACTATATTGGAATTTAGTGTAAATTTTTAGAACTAATTTGGTAACATTGAAAAGTTGAAAATCGAATCAGTATCCGTACGATAAGTTTATGATTGATTGGATAATTTGCCCGAGGAAAATATGGAAGAGAAAAGGTGGATATAGTGACCACTTACTGCATACTGGCTTGCAAGGCACACAATCAACCTGACATGAAGATGGACAAGCACTGGGCAGCTTTGCTCCAATACAAGGCATTGAGGATAACTCCAATTCTTGCATCTCACTCTCTTCACTCCCGATACTTCGCTTGATGGAGGCGGAGGAGGATATAACAGTCGGAGGGGCATTAGGTGGGGAGGAACCACCGCTTGGAGGAGGCACGCTGGTTGGCAGGGCATTTAGAGGTGTGGATCCGCTGCTTGTAGGTGGAAGCGTGGCTGTCGGGGGGCACTGGGACGGGTCGAGCCGTCACCGGTAGGCAGTGGAGGAGGCGTGGCGGTTGGAGGGGCATTAGGAGGGGTGGAGCCACCGCTGGTAGGCGGCGGAGGAGGAGTGGCAGTCTGCAGGGTGGAGCTACTGCTAGGAGCTGGTGGAGGAGGAGAAGAGACAGTGACGGGTGAAAGAGGTGTTGGAGGAGGCGGGGTGGTGGCAGGGGGAGATGACGATGGTGGGGGGAGGACAGGGAGAGGAGTAGGAGGAGGCGGCGGGGAGGGATACGTCACTAGAGGCGGTGGGGGCGTAGGGGTTTCATCGCCGGTGTCGCCTCCTGTGCTGCCACTGGTGCAAACAAGTTGGCAGGAAGCACAATCCACCTTACAAGTCCTGAGACAAGCAGGACAATGGAGCTTCACATGGTAACGAAGCGGGTAGTTCTTTTCTTGGCACTTCACTTGCTTGGTCCCTGGATCTGAGTCATTGCCAGAGCTAGGAAGAGGACTAACAAGGACATGCCCAAGCTTGCCATTGCCTTGGCCATATTTGGTTTTCGAGACAACTAACAAGCCAGAGCTTTTCTGATGATTCCTGTTGGGGTTAATAAATACTGTTCTTTATATAGAGACGAAAAAAGGTGCGAGGGAAAAGGTGTGCCTGAAGCTGGTTGACCTCAAACTCAGTAGGACTCTGCACGCCATGCCTCTCCTTGCAGGTGAGTTCAGGTTCCATCATTAAGGGTTCTTGAAGAAGGCATTCAACCCATAAAAAAGGAGGGTACATTGAGAGTTCGCATGAACACCATTCTGTGCCAAGGAACTATTTCTGAACAGAAATGATTTTTTTTTTAATTTTGTGCCCGGAAACAATTTCTGAGTATTTGAAGGCGTTTGATAAACTGACCAAAATTTCTATTCCTAGAGTAGAAAAGAACAGAAATGCGTTTGATAACTACACAAAATTTCTGTTCCCAAATAATATTTTAATAATATTTTGAATTGTTTAATTTTGTTTTTCTTTCTACCCATTTTCTTCTTTGGCCATGGCCGGTCGCCGGCGGCCGGCCCAGCACAGGGAAGAACAACGCAAAAATAAGAAAAGAAAAAAAAGAAAAAAAACTGATTCTCAAAATTGTGCCGAGAAACAAGAAGCAACTTTTTTTTACTTCTTGTTTCTCTTCCAAAACTGTTTCTCGGCACAAATTTTTGCAAAAATGTGCCCGGGAACAAAAAGTTTACCAAACGCATTTTTGTTCCCAAACTATTTCTGGGAACAAAAGAACAGAAATTTTCACTATTTGGCACGTTGCCAAATGAGCCCTGAAAAGGAAGTCAAAGTCAACCTGAAGAAAACGTTACCCGTGCCTTCTTATGACTTTGATTTGCAGCATCCACACGCCTGGACAGTTGTCAGGATTGCAATTTTTTGTTTTCTAGGGAGAGTTTGCCATAGAGCATCAAAGATGTTGTTGTGGGGCATTTATACCTCGTGAAGACTATTTAATGACGAGAGCTGCTAGCATGACCGTCTGAGGGTGTGACAGTCAAAAGCCAGCCACAAAATTTTCCTTTTTCCAACGCAAGCGCGTGGAAATTTTCAAGGAAAACACAGGTCTCTCTCTCTCGTGGAAACTGTGTGGCTGAGGGTTGACGATTCGTTTTCCAAGGAAACGGTACGGTCATGCAAGTGTTTTACTTTAAGGACTTAGCACAGTAATTAGAGTTATAATACAGTCCACAGCTTCTCCCCGAGGAGAGTTCCACTCCGCATCATGTCGCTTTTCGAATTGAGATATACATTGATAGATACACATTACACGTGAATAAGTTTCAACGTGCTGTAAAGAAAAAAGAGCTGGGGCTTCTCCAAACTGGATGTGCATTTATATGCCTGATTAATAAGCTTGTGCTTTGTATTTTTATTAACGATCATTGATCAATGTATAAATTATTAACAGAGCTTGATACAACCTGCACAAAATTGTTTAACCGTAAGCTAATATAAACAGGTGGCTGCATATTGGAGGCTAGGCATGAAAATGGACCATAATAGTAGTCATCAATTTGATGGCGATCATAGGGGAATATTTCCATTTCTCGTTCTTGCTCCAAATCTATTTTCGAGTTAAAAATTTATATAGAAAAACGAAATTGCGTTACCAAATGGATTTCTAATCCAAACCCGTTCCCGAAAACAGAAAAATAAAAATTGGTGAAACAAAATGATTATCATTTGCGCCTATAGTCACTCAACTTAAGAAGAGAAATTCAATGATGTGAAGCACTTCCTAGGCAAGAAGTATAGTCATGAACATTCGCATGAAATGCCAATGTTATTTGAGAAACTTTGTTATTTAGCAAGTGCAAAGAGAGCAGACTTTTGGGGTACATAATCGGCTATTAAGATGCACTCAAAGAAAAAGTCCCATACCGGATAATTGATGTGGTATAAAAGTAGTTAATATATGGGAAAATGACACAAATGATCCTTAAACTTTGGTCAAATATACAATGTTGTCCATGAATTTTTAATCTATTCAATGTGGATCCTAAACTTTTGATATATGTTCAATTTAGTGCTTCAACTATATAAAAATATTCAATATTGTCATTCTATTAATTCAAATTAACGAAATTTGCTGAGTAAGCTTTCAATTCGGTAAGTTTGAACGGCGAACGAAAAAAGTCCTTCTACTAATGCAAATTAACGAAATTTACTGATTCAGCTTTCAATTCGGTAAGTTTGAACGGTGAACAAAAAAAATATATTACACGTGGATTATCCAGTAAGATATTTAACTCAAAATCAGGATATAATAGTTCACATCATCAAATAACATATATAATCATTTTTCCATATTGAAGAAATTAAAAAAATTCGAAGGATCATTATATTTTTTTAACTGACTTGAATATCTTACATGGATAATGCAAGTGTAACGTTTTTTTTTTCCCGTCGTTCAAACGAATCAGCAAAATCCGTTAACTTGAATTACTAGAAGAATAACATTAAACATTTTCATATAGTTTAGGTACTAGATTGAACATTCACCAAAACTTTAGAGACCACATTGAACAAATTAAAACTTAGGGACAACATTACACATTCAAGGACTATTTGTGTAATTGTTCCTTAATATATCTTAGTTAGTTCATAATATATTGATCTAAGCTTTGAGTGAAGGTATTTCTAACTAAATATGTTGACGGATTCAGACATGACCTCCCCTTTTGGTAACATAAACTTTCCGGTGCAATCGAATAGGGAAGATCATAATAAGCAAAATGCGGATACAAGCAAAACGATGGCCATCTGTTATCTTAATTAAAATTGGGCCCAATACCCAAAAAAACCCCAAACTTTAGGCTTTGTCCAAACTATATCCTAAACTTTTTTTTGCCCTATAAAAAATCCAAAACTTTTACTTTTGTCCCAAATTTACCATCGTTAACTTTCTATCAAATATGGCCGTTAATGATCTTACGTGGAATTTCCACGTCATCAATGAAATTTACCGTGGAAAGCTGACATGGACGGATTCTTTGCAAAACGACATTTTCTTGGAGGAGCCTTAGGGTTTGGCTTTTCAATTGCTCTCTCTTCTTCACATGTCTCCTCTCTCTCTCACGTCGCTCGAATCTTCCGCTCACTCCTCCATCTCTCGTGCTCGGAGTCTCCCATCTCTCGCGCTCCTAGGCTCGAGACGCTCGGACATCTCTCGATTGGGAATAAGATATTTTGAAATTTGTTGATCAGAGACTTCATATATCAGATATGACGATGGTTCTTGCATAATTGTTCTTGCTCTGTATTGCCTTTTGCCGAGATGCACTCAATGTGTTCGATGATTTGCCTTCGTGATTTAGTGTCAATTTTCTTGTGCTATTAATCAAATTTGGTGATACTTGCACGATCTAGATGACTTCGTCTAATGCGTTGATCGTTTGAGATACTTCTTGGTTTATTCTCTCTTGAGGCCAATAACTAGGGTTGAGGTTTGTGAGAAAATTGTCTCTGATTATGAATTTATTAGTAATATAAACACACATTGATGTTGTTGTGACAGTTTGGAATTAGACAATACGAAGACGGGAGAGCAATTGAGCCGGATATCTTTGGGTCATCTACACTTCACCATGGGTCATCTACACATAACCACGGCTTCAATGAGGCACCAATAAATGATCGCTCAATGGCCTCTTATCAGGTCAAGCACATGCTGATGTTGTTGATCGAAACAGACATTTATTTCATGGTTTCGAGATCACCACAATAATTCGAAGTGATGTGTAATGTGCTCGGGTTCCATATTCGGTCATTTCAAGCTGGTTCAAGCTTTCGGTCAAATATTTTCTATTTCAAATGACAAATTTTGTATCATCGGAACTTACTAATGTTTTAGATATATTATTGATGATTGATAAGTACATACTTTCTTACCAAGACAAAAATTGAATATCTAAAATGAAAAAAAGCCACATATGGTAATTTTTGTTAAAATAGATAACCAGTTCACAACCCATCTTTCCGCCTCCACAGTGTCAACTCTAAGGGTCTAGAGCTTCGTGAGTCCTTTAGAATATTCTTGGGGTATCCCCTATTCATACATGAACCCCTCTGATTACAACCGTACGTTGTACGGTAGTTGATAGATTGGGAGATAAAATATATACCATTTGATAAATGAGAGATTTATGATGTATACATATATATATATATACATATATACATATATAGGGGGCCCCTCCCCTCATTTGTTTTACTTTCTCTATATAGATTTCTAATTCGCAGAGGAGGTCTTCTCGGACACTCAACCATTAATTCGCTCTGTTTTGGATGGATTGAACGTGTGTATATTTACCAATGGTCAAACTGGTTTAGGAATATCATATAAATGGTACATCGAAACCTTTATCTGTGTCCTTACAAAATTTGGACTACTTCTTTCTTTATATAAGGCATTGTTCTAACAATGAGTGGGCCTAGTGCATCATTAAGGGAGGATTGGAATGTCAATTAAATAGCTCTAAATGATCTTTTTTAGAAGGCACAAAGCAAAATACTAATGTTTTATATGAAGTTGCTGTGCAAATGGTTGAATCCCTTGATGATGCACTAGGCTCACTCTGTTCCAAAATGAGGAACCTGTACCCGAGGACAAATTTCGGGTTCCCGGTGGAACATGTAAGGAACTTACAATTGCTCACCCTTATCTGGAAATGATGCACGTTCACGAAAAAGAGCAAGTCAATCTCTCATAAGATAAAACAATTATGTGCTTTGATAAATAATAGATGGTTTTCTTTGAATCATTGGTGTTTGGTTAAGAGTAATCTCACCAAGAAAAAGGAGCTTGCGCTCCAACAAAAGGACTCTGAAGCTTGTTTCGATTCTACCGGGCGAGTTCAACAAATACGTTCTTTATTTTTAATGTGCCGGTACCGTCACACCTTGCATCCCAAATTTCCCCATAATCCTATTTTTTTTCTTAGGAGAAAAGAATACTCTTTGCCTGTTTTACATCTTAAGAATCTTAAGATCCGAACGATACTCAAGACAAACAGTTTAATGACGCACTTAGGTAACCAGGATATGCTCACCTTGGAGCAAAGGGTTGTCGTTAATCCCATGGATCATTATCTTGAAGGGCTAAGAGTAAAATCCCTTTGAGCTTTTTTCTACATGCCTTATTTAATGTCTCGCCGGTGAGACCCATTCAAGTCC